AGGGACGTGAGAGGACAGAGGAGACGGAGGACAAGAGGGATGGGGGGAGGACAGTAGATAGTGTGAGGAATGTAGGCTGAGAGAGGAGGACAGGGTGAGACAAGTTCATGCGAGTTTCACTCATTTTCTCCCAGATTTTTCCATTTTCATTCTCTCATTTGTAGCATCTGTTCAGTCTAAAAATATGAATAAATCAAATTAAAACGATACACATGTGAGAAGCTTTCCCATGTGCTTACTGGTAATTGAACCCCCCTGTATGTGATGGAAATGCTGGTTTTACCTCACAGCTGTTTACATCCTGTTACCTTGGTTTTCATTGTGTCCACTGTTCGTTGGGTTTCCTATTTTTATCCTCATGTTGTTGTTGTTTTTGTTTTTTTCTCCTGGCTGGTTTTTTTCTCGTCGCTAAAGTAAAATTCCCCCCTGGGGACAATTATGGAGTTTTGTTTTTATCTTAACTTTATCTTTCAACGTTTCTAATCTGCAGGATCCAGCTCAAAACGTTGCCAAACGCTGTCAGAGTTTTGTGATAAAGAGTCTGTGCATAAGAGCCAGAGGTGCTTTATTTCAATTTAAAATGATGATCTCACTTTTTTCAGCTTGATGCAACTTTTGATCCAGGGGACTTTTGGCAAAAAATGATCAGCATCACCTTAACTGGGTTATTAGTGTTATTCCTTTAAAGTCTGCAGACGGGCAAACCTTATACTAGATTGCATCAACTAAACCTTACAAAAGGTTTTATTGTGAAAGGGGAAACAAGTTAAAAGTGCTCAAATTTAGGCCAAACGAGAAACTCGCAACGAAAAAATCAATCTTTTTCTCAAGTCATCTAATATTTCCAGAGACGTTAAGATGAAATTCCCCAAAACTTCAATGACCTCTGCCAGGTTTTCCGCGATAGCTGGGATAGCAGTGTGTGTGTGTGTGTGTGTGTGTGTATGTGTGTGTGTAGGGGAGTAGAGGGGGGAGGACTATGAGGGGAGGAGGAAAGGAGGGCGACTAATGTCTTCTGAGGAGCGAGAGGAGAGGAATGAGACACTTTGGCCAAGACACAGCAGTAACTCTCTACTCTCGTTAGACTGGCCCTGTTATTCCCAATACACACACACACACACACACACACACACACACACACACACACACACACACACACACA